AGGGAAAGTTGTGAATATTTCTACAGCACAATAGAGTGAGACTAGCTAGTTAGGAGTTAGACTAAGAATATAATTGGTCGTCTATTGATGCAAGGCTTTACCTGCTAGTTTTACTATACCAGCCATTTATTTCGTATTTCGTATTCTGTATTTCATATCTCTTATATTGTTGTTATTGTATTATGCATTTTTATGGTACTAATATATCGGCTTTTATTGCTTTTTTGAGCCGAGGGTCTCCTGGAAACAACCTCTCTACCCTTCGGGGTAGGGGTAAGGTCTGCGTACATATTACCCTCCCCAGACCCCACTTGTGGGATTATACTGGGTCGTTGTTGTTGTTGTTGTTGTTGTTGTTCTTTTTCAATTTCAAATTCCTTTTTCTTTTAAAATTAAAAATAAAACCTAAATTAATTTATTAGATTAGATTAATTACTCAACAAAGTATTTACAAAAATTAAATAACTCCTAAACTAAAAGAAAAGCTATAAATTCAAAATTAAAGAGTAAAAATGCAAAAGTGAGCTATTTTTTGTAATTTTTCATTTTTAATCTAAAAGTGTAAAATTAGATCCTAAATGCAAATGCAATATATTTTTGTATTTTTCATGAATTAAATAAAATTAAATATGCACAGAAAAATGCAAATAATTAGAAAAATTCTACAATAATTCCTAAAAAACAAACAATTAAAAGCAAAATCTAATTCTTTGGAATTCTGTAGGAGTAATTCATGTGAAGCAAAAATCACGTGCTCGCATCCTTTACCTCAAATTGATGATTTATTTGACCATCTTTAAGGATTGAGAGTGTTCTGCAAGATTGATCTCAGGTCAAGGTATAACAAGATCAAGGACTCAGACATTCTTAAGACAGCTTTCAAGACCCGAGATGGTCATTATGAGTTCCTTATCTCGACTTGTTTGTTATTGTATTCATTTATGATATCCTGGTGTACTCTCGTAGCTAGGAGGAGCACGTCGAGCATTTGAGAGTTGTATTGCAGACGTTGAAGGAGGAGAAGCTTTATGTAAAGTTCTCCAATTGTGAGTTTTGGCTCAGTTCAGTGGCATTCTTGGGACACGTGGTGTTCAATGAGGGTATTCAAGTTGATACGAAGAAGATAGAGGCGGTTCAGAATTGGCCTAAACCGTCCTCAGCCATAGAGATTCGTAGATTTCTTAGTTTGGCGAGTTATTACCGTCAGTTCATTTAGGGATTTTCATCTATTGCATCACCCTTGACCAAATTGACTCAAAAGGGTGCTCCTTTTAGGTGGTCGGATGAGTGTGAGGTGAGCTTTAAGAAGCTCAAAACTGTCTTGACCACTGCTTCAGTGTTAGTTTTGCCATCAACTTCAGGTTCTTATACAGTATATTGTGATGTTTCTCGGGTCGGCATCGGGTGTGTGTTGATGCAGGAGGGTAGAGTCATTGCTTATTATTCTCGTCAGTTGAAGCCCCATGAGAAGAACTACCATGTTCATGATTTGAAGTTGGCTTCCATTGTTTACGCGTTGAAGATTTGGAGGCACTATCTCTATAGTGTGTCTTGTGAGGTATTTACTGATCATCGTAGCCTCCAACACTTGTTCAAACATAAGGATCTCAATTTGAGGCAGCGGAGATGGTTGGAGCTGCTAAAGGACTATGATATTACCATCTTGTATCATCTTGGAAAGGCCAATGCCTTAAGTAGGAAGGCGGTGAGTATGGGCAGTCTTGAATTTATTCCTATTAGGGAGAGACCTCTTGAAGTTGATGTTCAGGCTTCAGCCAATCAGTTTGTAAGATTGGATTTTTCGAAGCCCAGTCAGGTCCTAGCTTGTGTGGTTTCTCAGTCTTCCTTGTTTGATTGTATTAGAGAGCACCAGTATGATGATCCTCATTTGCTTGTCCTCAAGGACAAGGTTCTGCATGATGATGTCAGAGATGTGACTATTGGTGATGATGGGGTATTGAGGATGCAGGGCCGGATATGTGTGCCCAAATATGGGCTAAGGGAGTTGAGTCTGGAGGAGGCCCATAGTTCGTGGTGTTACATCCATCCGGGTACCGCGAAGATGTACCACAATTTGAGACAGCACTATTGGTGGAGGAGAATGAAAAATGATATAGTAGGGTTTGTAGCTCGGTGTCTCAATTGTCAGCAGGTCAAATATGAGCATCAGACACATGTGGCTTGCTTCAGCAGATTGAGATTCTAGAATGGAAGTGGGAGCGGATCACCATGGATTTTGTAGTTGGACTCCCACAGACTTTGAGAAAGTTCGATGCTATTTGGGTAATTGTCGATCGGCTGACCAAGTCCGCGTACTTCATTCCGATGTGTACTACCTATCCTTTAGAGCGGTTATCTGAGATTTATATCCTAGAGATTGTTCACTTGCATGGTGTCCCAATTTCCATCATTTCAGATAGAGGTACTCAGTTTACATTGCAGTTTTGGAGGGCCATGTAGCGAGAGTTGGGTACTCTAGTTGAGTTGAGTACATCTTTTCACCCTCAAACGGACGGACAGTCCGAGCGCACTATTCAGAAATTGGAGGACATGTTACACGCTTGTGTTATTGACTTTGGGGGTTCATGGGACTAGTTTCTACCGCTCGCGGAGTTTGCTTACAACAACAGTTATCAGTCGAGTATTTAGATGGCTCCGTATGAGGCTTTATATGGGAGGCGGTGTAGATCTCCAATAGGTTGGTTTGAGTCGGGTGAGGCTAGGCTTTTGGGTACAAACTTGGTACAGGATGCTTTGGACAAGGTAAAAGTAATTCAGGAGCGGCTTCGTACAGCACAGTCAAGACAAAAGAGTTATGCTGACGAAAATGTTCGTGGTGTATCTTATACGGTTGGGGAGAAGGTTCTACTGAAGGTTTCATCCATGAAGGGTGATATGAGACTTGGGAAGAAGGGCAAGTTGAGCCCACGATTCATTGGGCCTTTTGAAGTGCTTCGGAGGATTAGGGAGGTGGCGTATGAGCTTGCTTTGCCACCTAGCTTGTCGGGTGTGCATTCAGTATTTCATGTTTCTATGCACGGAAGTATATCGGTGATCCGTTTCATGTCTTGGATTTCAGCATGGTTCAGTTAGATGGTGATTTGACTTACGATATGGAGCCGGTAGCTATTTTGGAGCGGCAGGTCTAAAAGTTGAGATCAAATGAGATAGCTTCAGTGAAAGTGCAGTGGAAAGGTCGGCCCGCGGAGGAGGCTACCTGGGAGACCGAGCGGGAGATGCGGAGCAAATATCCACACATATTTGAGGCTTCAAGTATGTTTCTAGACTCGTTCGAGGACGAATATTTGTTTAAGAGGGGGAGGATGTAACGACCCGACCGGTCGTTTCGTGAGTTATAGCCCCATTTTCCCCATTTCTACTTTCTTTTGGTGTTATTCAGCTATATTTTATCGTATTGTGTTGGTTGTTTTTGGCTCAGAGCAGTTTCGGAGGGGAATGAGACACTTAGTCTCCTATTTAGAAGCTTAAGTTGGAAAAAGTCAACCGGATGTTGACTTATACGTAAATGATCTCGGATTTGGATTTTTATGGTTTGGTTAGTTCCGTTAGGTGATTTGGACTTAGGAGCGCATCCAGAATGTGATTTGGAGGTCCTTGGTAGAGTTAGGCATGAACTGGCAAAAGTTGGAATTTTGGCAATTTTGGTCGGTAGTGGAAATTTTGATATCGGGGTCCGAATAGAATTTTGGGAGTTGCAGTAGGTTCTTTGTATCATTTGTGACGTGTGTGCAAAATTTTAGGTCATACGGAGGTGATTTAGTAGGTTTCGACGTCGTTTGCGGAATTTGAAAGTTTAGAAGTTCTTAGGCTTGAATCCGAGGGTAAATTGGTGTTTTGATGTCGTTTTGAGTGTACCAAAGGTTCGACTGAGTTCGTATGTTGATATGTGACTTATTGGTTTTATTGGTTGAGGTCCCGGAGGCCTCGGGTGTGTTTCCGATGATTGACAGATTGGTTTTTGGTGTTGGGAGATAGTTATTGCTGCTGATTTATGAAGTTTGCTGGTGTTTCCGCACCTGCAGATAGGGAGCCGCAGGTGCGAGGTTGCAGGTGCGGTGGGGTAGCCGCAGATGCGGAAATGGAAGGCCAGGACTGGAGTCGCAGATGTAGAAGATTTGTTGCATCTGCGGGCCCGTAGGTGCGAGAACTGGGGTGCAGGTGCGGCTTTGAAGACTTAACTGACTTCCTCAGATAGGGACATTTTGGTGCAGAAGCGGCATCGCAGGTGCGAAATTTAGGCCGCAGGTGCATAAAAGCCTGAGCAGAAAGTATAAATTGAACCCTTCGCGATTTTTGGTCCATTCTTCACCATTTTCAGTCAGTTTTGAAGCTTTTGGGAGTGATTTTGAAGAGGGATTCAAGGGATTATCAATGAGGTAAATTGCTTGAGCCTTAATACTTGTATATGTGGTGATTTTTCGTTGTTTAATCATGTAATTAGTGAAGATGAGGGGTGAAAATGGGAGGTTAGAGCTTGGGATATTGGAGAGATTGATTTGAGAATTTGAGAGACCATTTGATGTCAGATTTTGATAAATTTGGTATGGTTAGACTCGTGAGTGAATGGGCTTTTTGGTTTGTAATTTTTGCTGGATTCCGAGACGTGGGCCCCGGGGGCCGGGTTTGAGTGGATTTCGAGATTTGTCTCTAATTTGATAGTTTTTCTTGTGTAATTCATTCCATTAGCACATATTGATGGTATTGTTCTGGTTGTGAATAGATTCGGAGCGATTGGAGGCCGAGTCGAGGGGCACTACAAGAAATATGCTTTTTAACGACCATTTCTTAACGAAGGGACATGAATCTGGTCGTTATAAATGTATTAATAGCGACCAACCTTTTTTCCGGTCGTTAAAGCTAATTTTTAGTTTGACATTAACGAAGTAATAACATTCTATCCTTAAAAATTATAATATCTGGTCGTTAAAAATTATAATTAACCAATAAAAAAATAGGCGCTATATTTTCCCTCGCTTTTCCCCAACTCACCCTACACCCGCCCCACTCCCCTCCAAAAAGACCCTTAGTCTACTGCTGATCAAAGCCTAAAACTGCTATCAGATATTTATGGGAGAAGAGAAAACCGTTTGTCACCTCAGCCGGCATCAACTGCTTAGTTTAGAGTTTCTTCTCATCAAGGTAAGATTAGAAAATTTACTCTTTTTATATATTAATTTTGGTTCAAATTAATAGGGTTGTGATTTGGGTTTCACTTTGGTGATGTTGGTGTTCAAGAATTGTGGCATGGTCGGTTTAGAATCAAGAATTTGTTGTATGATCGATTTCAGTTATCTTAATTTGGGCTTAAGAATTTTTTGATTATTTAAATCTGGGCTTAAGAAATATGAATTTGCGGAATGGTTAGTTTCAATGTGTAATCACCATATCATCATCTCTATCTATTCTACTCCTTTTCATTGGCTTTCTCCTTTTTCATGGCATGACTTCTGTTTTCCTTTGTGTTGAGTAAAAGATTCCGTCGTTCTCCAATTGGGTTCACAAAAATTTAGAGCCTTAGAAGGATAAATCTCAATGCGTGAAAATTAGGTCGTGGTTTTGACGATCGTAGCTTAACAATGATTTGCATTGTTTTGGGTGTTACTACATAAAGGTATATCTATTTAGTTTTAGATATCAACTTGGTGTTTGAGTTTTTACTTCACTGACTTGTTATGTTTCCAGTTCACAACTTGTAGCAATATATCTTGTGATGGCTTTTTATATTTTGTTTAATTTTTCACAATCTCTTATAGAGAATTGTTGTCCAGTATTTGTGGAAATGATTAGTTGATTTTTCCCCATAGATTGATCATTATAATAGGTGCTTAAGTTGTAAAAGCAGTCAAGCACTTGTCATTATAGTGAACTATTGTTACTCTTTCAACTCTTAAAGAGGTGCATGATTAATGTTTAGGTTGCTGAGGTACCGATTTCACTGAATCCAGTAGCCGACCTTCTTTGCTGTTTTCCCCTGTTGGTTACTTGATATAAAGTATTTTTAAAAGATGTATGGATGTATGATTTTTATTTTTTGTTATCATGGTTTTTGAATTTGCTTGAAGAGACAGTTTGATTAGTTTTAGAATGAATTGTGACTGAAGGCTTCATATGGCAGACCCACCTAGTTTGTGATTTAGAGCAATTGATCGACTTATTTCTTTACTTTACTAAAAGAATATTCTTTGTTAGTTTTCATGCATTTCCCCACTTCAGCTCAATTTCTTTTGGGGTTACAGAGGCTCTACGAATCCTTCAAGGAAAATCAGTATCATGACCATGATGCAAAGGAGAAGTTGAGTAAAGAATTAGGCCTAACAGCTAACCAGGTGTTATGAGTTCTCCCTGGCATATGTTAATTTCAGCTTCGTCCGCATTTTCGCAACTTGTATTTTCGATTTTGCTTCGTGGCTGCCCTCTTTTTCCTTAGTTTCTTTTTGTCAAATATACAGGTCAGTAAATGTTTTTAAAATGCTCGTCATTGCAATCGTCATTCTTCTCGCTGGGACTCAATTATGAGTCAAAAAGTGTTGAAAGAATCTCCTTCCTAACCAAATATAATTGGAGAACCACACTGAATCACTATATGTGGTGAAGTTAAAGATGAACAGAGTAGCATTTCTTATGTAATGTTGGGGATAAATATAAAGTGTGCATTTATTTTCTACTCTATGAGCTATTTACATTACCAATAAGAAAACAAATCAAACAAATTATTAGTAACTCATGAAAGGGGAACACTTTTAGATGTTTAAACTTCTGAACATTCTTCCGATATTGCGTTGTCTACCTTTAAAAGTGAACGGCTCAATTCTTTTAGAGTTTGCTCCCCTAATAATGGATTCTATTGTTCCTTGAGCCTTGCTTTAAACTTGGGAATTTTTTTTTTAATTATGCCAAAGATCTTTCCTTTATATAATCCACGTGAGATAACTGTTGGGAGTGTGAGTTTAGTTTAGATTCTGCACCCTCCTGATATTCTGTCTCTTATCCACTAAGTTTTACTACTACTATGTAAGATGTACAAATTAATTTCTTTCTCATAGAAAGTATATAGGTTGGTGATGGAGATGAAAGCTTTTGCAGAAGCATAAGTGATTTAATATGATGAAAGTACTTGTTATGAAATTTCGGTGAGCATCACAAGTCATACACAAATATAACTTAATCTCTCCGTCACCTTGTGCATACTGAAATTAGAGTATCCTTTCTGCTATTGAATGCTTTTACTGTTAATTTTGAAGCATGTATCTTACTGGTTGCGTTATGTCTAAATTAGTATTCCGAGAGCTTAGCTGGTATGTGAACCTTCTATATTTATGGTCATGTCCATGTTTTTTTTGTTAATTTGAATCTAAGTAGTTTTTTTATTTGATCTTGCACTTGCTCAAAGCTTCTGTTTCATGTATTCTAATTGCTGGAATTAGATACCGTCGACAGTGTTAAGGTATTTTTAAATCTTGGACCTAGGGAAAAGCTGGAGAAAGAGAGAAAATAATAAAATTTCAGAAAAATGGGTCAATTCATTGTGCTCCATTTCGTTGGTAGTTCTTTCTGTTGAACTTGAATTTGTTACTCAAGAATAACAGTTATCTTTTTGTTTTACATATGTGGAACTATAGAAAAGTAGACTAATGAATATTTGTGCTGAAATTATTGCTTTTAACCCGATTTACATGCTTCTCACAGTAAAATTGTTCCATTCTATTTTCTTGTATTCTTTGCTGTCCTATTTTCTTTATTTTGTGGCATGGTCACCGGTTCATCTTGCTAAAGACCAACACATTTTTTGGAGTAGTAAAGAATTCAATTGCTTAGAAATATTTGCCTTTTCTAGATTTTCGACTAATATGCAGTGACTCTCTTTAATATCAAAATTTCAGTTCCGAATCAAGGTGGGTGTACCTCAATTTTGGCTCATCAGTTCACTTAGATGAACTTTTTTCCATTTATTAAAAATATTTTCCGAATCTGTTTTATGTTTCGATTCCCTCTGTCTTACTTATATTTCAGGAGATCATAAACAAAAAAAATATAGAGATTTGCTGCTACAAAGGAATCGCAAGACTTCAAAAGATAGGATTTGGAGCATAAAATGCCGGGAAAGAGGGTAATTACATTTGAGACAGGATTATTTGAGTTAAAAACTTTTCTAATGTATGTTTAACTTATTTCCAGCGAGACAGCCAAGACATTGTTGTAACTTAATGGGAATAGAGACAACTGAACGTGTGAGTTAAAATTCTTTACCAGAAACTCATGTTGGAACAACTTGTAATTTTCCAAACAAAGTTTTAAGCTCTGCTGTTCAAAACTTCAGATATAAAGAGATAATACCATGTTATCTATTTTTGCTGCCAAGTAATTGCTGCTTCGTAAATCCAAATAGAAATAGTGATACCCTTATCATATAGTTAAACTATTAGAAGAAATTTATGTCTCTCATGTTGTTTTTGAATTAAGAAGCTATGTCTCAAAGTGTTTAATTTATTTAAACTAATCATCCAAGATATTTTTGTGCTTCAGATTTGCTCAATGGATTTCAGCAAAGAATGTCTGCTTCAGAAAGCATATGGAATTTAGTCATAAATAATCTCAACAGAACATGGGTAATCTTTTAATGTTAAGATATTTTCTCTCTTGATTCACTTTTATTCATATTATTGTAAAAAATTGGAACTTTTGTTTAGACTGTGGTAATGTGGTCTATTTATAAAAAAGAGATGATAATCTCATGTAGATTGCTTTATGTTAATTGACATTTTTCTTGCACTTGAACTGTTATAGATATATGTTCATGTATCCTCATTCTAAATGTCTTAAATATGGCTTCATATACTTCATCCTTATTATAGGACTCCTCTAAAATTATGAGATTAATTCTCTGATAGGAAAGATCGATTATCTAGCAGTGGCTACATGTTTATATCATTTGTAATATGATACAATTGTTTTGCTTATATGCTTTTGTGGACATAACCTTCAAACCTATTATTTTTACTTGCATATTTTACGTTTTTATGTACATGCAGACAAACTTTGAATCTTATGAGACATCTATTTGAAACAAAAGGAAAATTAAAGGATGGTTCTTATGAAGAGCTGTTTGTTTGAATATCCCGTAACAAGTTATTAGGTGGGGTTTATGTGGAATTTATTTATTTTTGTTTTTTAATATTTCCCCAGAACAAGAAAGAGAGGAAGAAAGTGAGAAAAGTGGGTATATTGAAGAAGGATCCTGACCAAATGACTAAGTTCCACATATAATTCTTTTCTTTGTCTAAGTTGTTGCATTGAGCTCTGTGATACTTGTTGTTATATAATTGAATAAAATGCTCTCTTTTTTTGGATCATTTGTAATGGAATAAAATGCTCTTGTGCTTAACATTTCTGTTGACGTAAATCTCTGGAGATTGTTTTGAGTGACATTAAAGAAAGATTGAGAACTATAAATTAATGCCTATTCATCACGTTTAGTAAAGTAAAAGCAATAATAAGAGGAAGAGCAGAATTAGGATATAATCTGAAGTGGATTAATTAAAGCTCGAAGAATTACTTTAGAAAAATTCATGAGTAAACTGAAGATTGCCTACTAACAGTAATATAACAATGGACATGTTGTCATCTTGAGTTAATTGATTTAAATTTTTACATAGTTTTTAGTTGTCTCTTAGTTCTTTAATTGTGTTTTGTTAATTGAACCGAAAACGTTATACCTAATGGGAGTGGAGTAGTGCATGCTATTTCTGGAGAACTTTATTTCTGCTTCCTATTTCCCACATTTTGCCTATCATATCAGATTCAGCAGCTCTTTTAAAACCAAGTTAATAATTTGCGCTCCTTTAAATAATGAATGAGCTCTTTTTTCTCTTCTGATAATAATGAATGAGCTATTTTTTCTCTTCCAATAAATATGAATGGGCTAATAACCTATTTTTCAAAGCTTGAATCAGATTTAACAATTTCTTAGACAGTTAATCGCAAAAGAAATTATGTGATTCTTTATATACTGATAAACACAAAGAGGGTTGCTTACTAAACACTTGATTGAACTGTGAAAGCACTTGATTGTGTGATTATTTATGTTCTGCTTACTAAACACGTTTATGTACTCATTATAACTTTCCTCTTTCATGCATCAGCTAACTGTAGTAACATATCACCTAATATTGTGATTCAAATCTTTAAGTGTTGTAGCTTTTTTACGATGCATATGTTACTTTATATTAGAAGATTTACATTTCACTAACTATGTAAAGTCCAATTCTAATGGAGAGGCATTTGCTTCTTCATAACGGTGTCTTTCAGGTTACACTAGATTTTCTTCGATTCTCAACAAAGTTTAACACTTTCAAGGTTGCTCAAGTTATGGAGATGTTGAAGGCATAATCCAACAAGCTGCAAGGATCATGTTTGGTAAAGTCAAAGTGCCGTGAAGGCTTACCTAGAATTGAGCATGAGATATCATCTGGAGATAATCTTTAGTTGCAATTTTGCAAATAAAGATTACTTTAGACTGCAAATTGCTTCGCATGGTCTAGTAGTTCTAATACAAATCATATACGAGTAAAGTGTAGCAGATCAAGAATTTGGAAGTTCGAAATATCAATCCTTGAAAAAGTGCAGAGGAAAAAGTTGAAATACAAGAAATTTATTTTGTTGGGGTGGTTTAAAGATATCTGATGTACATTGAATGCATTTTTTTCTACGTTTAGAAGTTGTTAAAATATTGTCATACAATTTGGATGGTTTTATTATTCTTTAGTTCATTGTATCAATGATGAAGTTTCATATGAATTCTGATTATTTAATATAGGTTTGATTGTGTCGTATGTGTATGAAAGCATATGAAATAATTATTTTATATTCAGTAAAATAAAGTTCTATAATTATATTTAGTAAAACTTCTCATTAGCGAAGGGAAATTTGGGCTATAAAAGTACCTGTAACGACCAAATTCGTTGCTCCCATAAAGTTTTTTAACGATCGGGATGACAATTTAACGAAGAGAAAATTTGTCGCTAAAAAAGACACAACGACCGGAATTTATGTTGTCGCTAAAGGATCTTTAACGGTCGACTTACAGTCCGGTCGTTAACTTTTAACGTCAAAGCTTTTAACGACCGGTGACGACCGGATTTTCTCCAGTCTCTACAAGTTTATAACGACCGGATTTGGACTTTTAACGATCGTTTTCCCCTCGCTATAGGCACTTTTTCTTGTAGTGGGGCAAGAGCATCGCAGAGTAGAGATTTGATCAGCTTGAGGTAAGTAACGATTGTAAATCTAGTCCAGAGGGTATGAAACCCCGGATTTCGTATTGTTTTACTATTTTGAGGTGACACACATGCTAGGTGACGGGCGTGTAGGCGTGAATCGTTGGGGATTATGACCTGGTCCATCCCATAGCAACTTTGGTCCATCCCATAGCAACTGTAAAGTTGCATATTTGTTTGAAACTATATGATACGTATGTGTTTTAGAAAGAGTTTCTGTAAATTGGGTTGAATGCCAAGTTTAGGCCTTGTGCCAGAGCTTTTTGGACCCTTAGGGGTCTTTTTCTTATTATCCTCTCATTGTTTTCGGTTGAAAAATCTATACCCAGTCACAGTTATACTTATTTATTGCACGACTCAATCTTTACTACTCTATTTTGATGCATATAAATGTTGTTTTGGGCTGAAGACCTTGTTTTTACTGAGAGTCGGAATGGCTTGAGAGGTTTATGACTGAGTGAGGCCGAGGGCCTAATTTGTGAGGATATTTATGGGATCGGGCTGCACGCCGCATCATATTTTGATATAGGCCGAGGGTTTGATTGATTTATGCCACGAGTTGGCTTGTTATAGCGCTTAGGCTGAAGGAGCTCATCCAGAGTCTACACACTCCCAGTGAGCGCAGGTACCCACTGAGTGCGAGTGCTGAGTGACTGGGAGGCATGAATGATGGTGAGGTATGCCCAAGGGGTTGTATACGAGTGACTGTAAGGTTTGCCCGAAGGGACTGTATATGAGTGATGTTTTGCCCGGGGGGTTATTTATGATTTCATAATTTTTGCCCACCTTTGCATTGAGCCTTTATTTGAAAACTATCGAAAAATATCTTTAAATGATTTTTACTAGAACTGGGTTTAAAATAGATGATTTGATTCAACCCTGATTTTAAAAGTCTGTTGTATTTTACTCAGGCTCCATGATATGAGCTTTAAATGCTTTATTGCTCGTCACTACTTCTCAGCCTTTATTTACTTTTGTTACTTATTGAGTTGGCGTACTCACGTTACTTCCTGCACCTTGTGTGCATATCCAGGCATATCAGGACCCGGTAGCGGCTATTGACTATTCCAGCTGTGGATCTTCTTGGAGTTAGCAAGATAGCTGATGGCGATCGGAACCCTGATCTTCTCCCTCCTATCTTCCTATAGTTGTTTGCAGTTACTTTCCACACTGTATTAGTCTCAGTATTTTCGGACAAATTGTAATAGGTGCTCATGACTTGTGATACCCTGATGTCAGGCTTTTCTTTCCGCACTTTCGTTGTTTAGAATTTCTTTATGATATTTTATTATTAAATAGCTTGAATTTATCTTTGAAATGAAATATCTTGTTGTTTTTGGTAAAGAGTCATCTAGCCAAGTACCACGATGGGCGCCATCACGACATGGTAGTTTGGGTCGTGACATGTACCTAGTAAGGAGAGAAGTTAGGCGATCTGAAGTTCCAGTGAGATGAAGCAAGGGGAGCTAAAGCGAGAGAATATTTTGTTGAAGTTTTCAGAATAAGGTAATAGACAGAAACATTAGAGAGAAAATAAGTAAATAGTAAATAAAGCATTATGATGTAATAAATGGGTTAATAAAGGTAAAAGAAAATATGACAAGATGACAAAGTCTATACTCATGTGAATGAAAATACAAGAGGAGACATGCCTTGAGACTGTAAAATAATATAAGTCATAAAGTCATATCATCATTTCGAGAAATGAGTTAGTAACTACGTGATTACTAGAAGGACAAGTTGGATCCACAGAGTAATAGAATCAGTACAAGCTAGTAAAAACGATAAAACGAACATGAATTAGGGACCAGAGGATTCGATAATTATCGACATTGTGAGAATTATAGAGACTCATTCCGACACTAATAGAATGGACAACAAAAGAATAACCTTTAAAGGTCATTCAGGAAGACGCTTTCCTTTAGCAAGAAATGTGAACAAAGTTAAGCTTAAGGGACTAAGTGTGCCAGTTACACTAGGTGTCACCTTCATGTGTAAGGAATTCTTTTATCCGTGGAATAGAAAGGTTACCGCAAGACGGTTAAGGGTCATTGGACATGTGAGAAAACGCCGAAGATGAAGAGGTAAAACATCTACACATAAAACTTCAGAGAATTAAATATTTGTACTCCCCTAAAGTAGAAAAATGGTGTGATATGGTATTAAGTCGGAGTTAAGTCGTTCAGGTAAATATAGAATGGTAAAGGAAGAATGCGGTAAAAAGGCGAAAGGAATGAGATTGCATTTATTCAGTTCTTATAGCTGTGTCACGACAGGAAGATGCAGTAAGGGTTCCCGACAAGGATGTTAATTGATAAATAAGTGTGAATGGACATTTGATACATAAGGAACCAATGCGAGACGTAAGTTAAGACAAAAGACATAACCTAAGAGAGGTTACGCAGAATATAGATATGTGAATGGACTATACATTAGTTGGTAGTCGATTTAAGAAGAGCCTAGTTATGGCTAGTCAAGACGTCACAAATAAATCAGCAGATCATGCAAGATACACATAGTGAACCCCAGCAAAGGAAATTCAGTCTCGCATATATGAGATCGTAATCTTTGAGAAGTATTCAGATAGGAGTTGAGGTAATTAAAGGTACCATATGAGTGTTACAGAAATAAAAGAGAGTGGCGCAAGGGAGACAATCACAATTTGAGTTTAGAAGTAACCCTACGATCACAAAGGCATGGAGGGAAGTAACTAAGGATAAATATAAGCGAGTAGGGACATCGAAAATACCGTAAGATATATAATGTGATAAGCTCGCAACGTTACAAGAGTCAAGGGGTGTCCTCTATGTACTACAACGAAAGACTAGTTGAGGAAATAAGGAATAACGCTTTAACCTAAGCATAGCAACCTGAATTCAATATTATAGAAGAAATAATCTTGTAACAGTAGCCTCATTAGAACGTTGTATGCACTCCATAAGAAAGTAGCACCTATCTTGACTAATAAACGGGAAGTGAAATCAAAAGTAACATTTGAGATCATATGAGTTACGCAAATTCTACTATGCGTCGGAAGTAACATAAGCCAAGTATTCATACAACAAGTGGTAGAACGACCAGGAAAAGTACTTGCTCATGTTTAAAGACAACTAAGAAGGCATGAAAGGAATTATTCGATCTATGACCCAAAGTTATTTATCTTATGAACACACTTAAGATTTCAAATTATTATGCATCCATCATATATGTTGACATTCTTACAGTTATAGGAGACTCCTGTATATTAGTAAAAGAAAGAATTGAGTCCACGTTACCGATTTTAACGACCAATTTTGACCCTCTCCCATTAAAGTAAATTATATACGCTTATTAATCAGAAATAAATGTAGCAAAGTATTTTTAAATATTTTCTTAAAATATAAACGATATAATACATAATAATTAAAAATATTTAAGTAATAGTAATTTAGTATTAAATATTTAAAAATTATTTTACTCCTACTGATTTAATTAATTAAAATTACATTTCACATCTTAATAAATAAGTTTTACAATATATTTAATAATTTAGTCTAAAAATTACAATTATATTACTTTGATTAGCCGAAATTAATTCGTACAATTTTATATCTGGAATATTAATTATTTTAACAACAAAATAACTATAGTGATTAGTTAATATATTTTATAATTATATTTTATTACATTCAGTTGGGATTAATTAAATCTAATTAATTTAATTATAAAGAGGGTTTAAAAACTCAAAAAAGCTGTAATAGCAATTGTCACATTAAACTCAATGTGGTTACAATTTAAAGTACATTCCTGCATATTTGGCCCAAAAATCACAAGGCCAATGTGCCTGACACGCATTTGAACCCACCCCCTTGTCCAAGTTAACAATCCATGCCACCTATTTTAAGCCAATCAAAAAATGCCACATCACACCTCATAAACAGTCACACAAGAAATAGAAGAGATCTGGAATGTTTGTCCAATCCATCAACAGTTTACGATTAATCCCTATTTTTCTTTTTACTTTTATAATTGTTCTGCATCTAGTCTCAGCGGTTGAATCACTAAGATCCAATGACCTTCACTTTTCCGCAATAAATCTTTCTATCAATATTTATTCTTCGAAGATTCGGAGCCGTTGATCAAAAGATCTAACGACTCACATTGCATCTCTTGTTTTTAACCTTAGAGATGCCTCTAACTCTAATCATTCTATCACCAAGTGGCCGTCCTCATTTCCTATTTCTTCCCCTGTTCTCTCAAACCCTGCAAACCCATCAATCCAAAACCTTGCACAAAATCAAACCCAAATCACCCCTTCTGTCCCTTCTAACCGCGAATCTTGCCGATTCCTTTCCTTTCTCATCACTCCGATTCAAATCACAAACCCCAGAACCCTAGACCTAAAAAGTGCAATCTGGGATTTTATTCATCATCCCCCTATCCGATCAAATCGAAGCATGCATGACCATGTCTTCTACCTCATAATCATCATATGTTGTCCAGAGGTCAAACACCGTGACCTTAGGATATGGAGCTCTAACCGATATTTCTTCAGTACTCCAATGGTTGACCTTCTCCTCCCATCGGGCTAAGGTAAAAATCTTACAATGGTTTCCCCTCTTTTTCTTCTGATTTTTACTTTCTTGTTATCATCATCTGTCAATAATCACTTGTTTGTTCATAATAATACGAGGCTTTCATTATGTCTAGCTATTCATGTGATTAATGACATTTCATGATAGTTGTACTATGTTACTTAATCTGTTATGGTTATTGAATTTTACTTCTCATGATTTAGTTAGTTAAGATATTTCTACACCGATGCTATTCTAATGGATAAATCCTGCTAAGTCTTCCATGATTAGTTGAATTGACCCTTATGTTGATTTTATGTTTGATTCACCCCTATTAGTTTGATGACTGCCGTATGAACACTATCATGTCAGCTAAATCAATTGAATTATGTTCTTGAATTCTTCCTAATGTCCTGTTAAGGTTTCATATCTCCAGTAATATGTTATCTTGATCTTCATGCCTATGAAGTTGAGTTTCCTTGTCTTGGTCCAATGAATGATTCTCATTGCAAATCCTGTCTTATATTTGATATGTCTGCTTTACTGACCTTAGCTAACAATCTTGTTGTTGATAAGTGATTCATGGATGTTTATCACTATAGTTTTAAATTATGTGGTGAACTTGTTAGCATAGCTATCACTAAACTTGTCCACTTCCTATCATCATTCACTATCTCATGACTGTTTGAGCTCCGTGTTAGTAGCTATATGTGACTTATACTATTGCATTGATTGAATGACTCCTGCTTGACCTCTATGCTTATATATACACTTATCATATTGTTTTTGCTGATCCAGTAGTGCTTAGGAACCATTGCATGCCCTTATCTAAGAGAACTTTATGTTTAAGTTACCATGTTGATTTTCTTGCAGCCTCCTGTTAATCTACCCTAATGGTAGTGCCTATCTCATTATGATTATCCGATTGTTTAGCTAAAGAACCTTAGATCGTAGTCATGCTTGGTCTATATTGATAATGGTTTGGATGTCATCATAATAATTTAGTGAAGGTGTGGGTACATCTTAACTTAGGGTGCCACAGTAGTCCTACTAAATGATGATCTACATTCATCTATCTGTTTGGTTTTGACCATTTATGTTTTTGGATCTTTCATGATCATGTGGTGTCTAAGACACTATTTGAGAAGACTTCTTTTGTCAATATGGGTAATTGTTCACTCTGGTAACCTAATAGCTTGATTGAATGATGTTGAACATGTACTATGCCAGTAGGATCCAAAATGGTTTGTTGGTGTAACTTGTTAGTAAAATTACTTACATGTGTAAATGAACTTGTTGTGATCTGATTGTCCTGCTTGAATCAAATGAGAATGAACATCTCTACTTACTGACTCGTGTCAGTTGACATCACTATGTATAGAAGAACTTAATCATGAACTGGAGTGATATTTGGATCTTGCAAATTGAAAAACTGTTAGACTATACATTATCACAACTAGATATCATCCTCGTTAGGTCCAAACAAAATTAAAACTAACTTTCCTACATGCATTGATATCTCTGCTGGTTTAGCGGATTGATAATTTGGGAAGCCTGAACACGGTTGTTAATATAAGTGTCTAGTGTAGTAGGGGTCTCAGTTATATATATATATACACACACACACATATGCATGCTTGCTCTAGACTGTTCTGAAGATTATTGAAATGCATGCTGACCTGTTTTAAGTGGCATGAACATATTCAAGGATCCTGAAATGCTGAACCTTCAATAGAATTAATAAAGCTGTGAACATATCGTTCTTTGTCACTTACTGATGCTTAGATCACATAAATAAGGCATCTATGAACTTGAAGTGGTTAAAGATAACACCTATCTACTGATAATATGCAACTAGCTCTCTTTGTTCTATGACCGCATTTTATTAATGATCCTCTTAAGTGTTCTGATGCATACTATGATCAGCCTTAAGGTCTTTGATGTTATTGGAACCCTATAAATCTACCTACAATGATTTATCTTTGTACTTATTATTCTGATAAGATGTCCTAAGGTCAATATTGTGTTGCTTCTTAGCTGATTATGCTCTAATGATAATTGCAATGTCTAATGTGGCTATGTATTTACTTCTAACAATGTGAAACTACTAAGTTGACATTATATTTGTGTCCAAACCTTTTAGGAAGAGTGAGAGTTGATAATCAAGGGTATTTAGGTATGAGCTTGATTTGTGGTTGAGCTACCCCTCCCTGACGAAAGCTTTACTTGGGGTCTATGTGACCCTTGTGAACTCTGAAGTATCAGGGGTCCATAGGGGACTTTATCCATAAAATGAGGTTTACTCCAAGCCTTTGGTCATTGACTTTAATTAATACTCATAGGGTTGGTACAAATAAAGCTAATTTTACTGTATTCTTGAGTGTCTTTATTATTATTAGTCGTTATGACTTTATCTTATTTCACCTTAAATTGATCTCCACTAATTATCTTCTTTTCTTTTGTATGCATGTCCGAATTGAGTCTGGCAAGTTCCTTTGGAAATCAAACCCAAGTTCCAGGTCTGGGTCACTTCCTCTGCACTTGTTGAGTCTGCTGCTTGTTTGAATCCGGATGAGCTTGACTACTAACGAGCCCAATATCAAGAGTTAAAATCTCCCCTCCTCTCATTTTTTAATATTAGCTATTGCTATTTGTTGATTATGTGTATGTCTTTGAAACTAACATTACTATTGGATATTGTTTTGTTATTTTGATTGTTTAGGAAACATAAGAAACCAAGACTTGTAGTTAAAAGGTCAAACTAGATTATAAGATTCGCTTACTTTTGTTACTCTAACATTTGAGCATTAGTAATTTGAGATTAATCATTCAATAATTAAACAATTTTACTTATGTTTACCATTGATGACTTTCAGTTTTAAGTTTTGACAAATTCAAAAAGTGAACAAATTCTCTTTGGAAAATTGTCAAATGGGTAGAGCACATAATACAAGAGTCGTTTCAAAAATAAAAGCAATCATGTACAACCGGGCTTACAAGAAACAACGAATGAATTTGAAAACAGAAGGCATCTCACTAGAACCATTTTCACGAAACAAACAAGGTATATCCGTTCTCACCCCAAGGCATATTTTTTTGAAGTAATCCTATGCGTTACAAGTTATAAAATCTCACAAATAAGCACAATCCTTTTAAACAGAAGTACACAACCATTTTTCCAAAACAACGAGTTTTCAACAAGACAGAGACAGTTTCACAGGTCCTGCTTAGAAAATTTAATCACTAAATTAAGTAGAATATAAACATTTTTTTTCTTCGAACACAAACCCTTTTTCCAAAACTAGAATATTATTTAATGTGATTTGAGGTTTCTAACTAAGTTCATATCATATTTTAGGATTTTTTGGTATGTTTGAATGGGGTCCCGGGGGCCTCTAGAGTAATTTGGATTGAAATCGGATCAAGAGTTGGACTTGTGCAATTTCTGTTGGCAGCAGATTTGGTGTGACCGCACCTGTGGTAGGTGCGGATCCACAAAAAAAGGCCAAGTAGGCGCAAATTCGGGAACTGGGGATGGAGCCTAAGAGCATAGGTGTGAGGAAGATTCCGCACCTGCGATCTCGCAGATGTGGAATGTGGGTCGTAGGAGCGGAAAGGAGGCTGGTGTGGTTGGTCCACAAAGCAGACAGATTTGTGCAGAAGCGCATCCGCATGTGCTGGCAAGGGATCGCATAAGCCATTGGTCGGGACATAAGTGATATCCGCATAAGTGGATTTTTAACTGCAGAAGCGGTACCGTAGAAGCGGTGAAAGGGCTCGCAGGGACAAAATTCCTAGCAGAGTACATGTTACTACCCAAACCGATGGGTCGTGACGGACACCCGGTACCTTACTCAACCGACTACCAATATAACGTATCTTTTCATGTCATACTATCATAAATAACTGAACCGGAAGGCTGCCGTGAGATAAGTAGAATACAACATGTGATACCAATTTATACATAAGACATACGGACCTATAAGGCCAAAATAACCACTTGTACACTAAATATAGGCCGACAAGGCCATATAATCTTTTACGTACATGACGTCTATCTACAAGCCTGTAAGAATACATAATTTTCATAAAGGTTGGGATAGAGTGTCACGACCCAAACCGATGGGCCGTGACGGGCATCTGGTACCTTACTCAAGCGAGTACCAACGTAACATATCTTTCTTATTACATCATCATATACAAGTAACATACAGGCCTAATAGGCCAACATAATCATTTATAAACTCATAACATAGGCCGACAAGGCCGTACAATCTTTCACGTGCATGATATATGTCTACAAGCCTCTAAGAGTACATAAATGTCGTAAAGGTCGGGACAGAGTTCCACCATACCAAACAATACACGTCTAAATCATATTAACCAAACAAGCAACTCCAAAGCAAATGGAGTGTTCCAACATCTTCCGCTGAGCTAATAGCCTACTTAGAGGGCTCTCGACCTGTCTATCGGGACCTGCGGGCATGAAATGCAGCGTCCCCAGCCAAAAGGGACATCGGTACGAAAAATGTACCGAGTATATAAGGCACATAAATAAGTACATAACAGACATGAAAGAAATATAGAGTAATTGACTCAACCTGTAAGTCTGGATAGCTCTGTAAATCATAAATTACTTTTAGCGTCATGCATATGCGTATGAATGTCATGTCGTGCATAGGTACATGTTTCATATCATCATCAGCCTCTGAGGGCATCCAATCATATCATATCAGCCACTGTGGGCTAAATCATCAACAAATACCAGCTGATCAGGTGGTGGTGTGTATATAACGCCATAACCTTTCCCTTATCCCATATACATATATATACATACATATATACGCGTATATAATGCCATCTGGTCATAGTTCAATGTACATGAATGCAATGCATGAAAAGTATGTTAATAAAATCTTTCAGAATGTCATAAGACCATTTTGCCTTTGAGTAGTATCATAAAGTAAACTCTTTTCAACTTTCGTACTTTTTGAAACCCATGAACAAATGATAAAATATTTTGACACATGGAAATTCAAGAATATAGATATATCTAATACTTCTATGAATAGATTCATTTATGGAATTTGTGCATTTGCACGTTTCGTTCGTATCATATGGATCATGCCAAAAGAAAGAAGGGATAACCTTAACATACTTGGGGGTAGGGAATACTCCGTATAATATTCTTGGACAAGATTGCACCGTACTCCCTTATAATCGCAAAATCCCGTTGCTATTTACGTAGCCTCGTATGATCATCATTGATATTCTCCTGTAGCACCAGTGGCCATGGACCAACAACAAGCGCTCAAGAAAACGGAATTGAGCTATTGCATAATCACTTGACATGACAGCCTGCATTCCTTCAACGCCACTGATGCCAACCCCAACATCAGCCTCTTGGAGCGTGCTTACACCATTTGCCCCATTACCAATTGCTAATGTATTTTGGTGTGTTCCAACTTTCACTAATCTAGTAACAAGTGCTTTTTGTTTAGGAGTGGAGCGGCAGCAAATTACAGATGCACAATTTATTGCAAGCTCCAAGAATGATTTTTCCCATTTTTTTGTCAAGAGCAAATGACAATGATTTGCCATCAATGATCAAACCAAATGATGTAGTAATTTCTTTGCTTGAGCTTATTTGTGATATTCCCTCTCTTATTTGCTTTGTGATGCTATCATGTGAAACCTTTGCAATAGTTTCCTTGTTTCCTCGGGTTTTTAATTACTGCCACCAACCCTTCTTTCTCAAAGACCAATTTTTGGATGCATGGATTCATGCCGCCTATCTAAAAGATGTAAGAGTCACAATATGTTGTGGCAAAAGCTGCCACGTTTTTTTGTGTGTGGGGGGATTAATTTGCGGGTAATTGATTAATTACCGGGTAACGGGACATTACCTAATTAATTGTGTGTGGGGGGATTAATCTTATCCAAATATATTTCCAATTAATTAGGTAATGTCCCGTTACCCGGTAATTAATCAATTACCCGCAAAATTGAGAATTATTCCCACTTACTTAAAATATTACTCACTTTTCACATACCTTATACACCTTACTATTATGGTCATGTGGTACCTTGTATAGTACTAGTCCATAAATAATTAGTATATTAGCTCAAGCCGTATTTTATCCCAATATGCCAAACTTGGACGAAAATTCGTTTCCTTTGACTTGCTCCCCCTTTCACCTTTACTAATCACTTGTGAAATAGCATAATCCTTATAATCTCCAAATAATCTNTTACTATTATGGTCATGTGGTACCTTGTATAGTACTAGTCCATAAATACCGAGTATTTTAACTCGAGCCGTATTTTATCCCAACATGCCAAACTTGGACGAAAATTCATTTTCTTTGACTTGCTTCCCCTTTCACCTTTACGAATTTACTTATTACTTGTTTGAAATAGCATAATCCCTAAAATCTCCAAATAATCTTTTTCCTTGGACTGATGTCAGTTACCTTATGACAAATTCAACGTACAACACTACAGGGTACAACATCGTCGTAATATAGTATTGCGGGACGTGAAATCTCACTTCTAGGATCTCATTAATTTATTTATGGCGTATTTTCATGTACGAAAATATAGGGTCTAAATTATTCTCCCCTTTGGAACATTCGTCCTCGAATGTTGACTGATGCGCTCATCGTCCTCATATCCCATAGTTCTTGCAAATAATTTAGTAGTCCTTTTGCCATCTAGGCAACTGTTCTGTGAATAAGTCCAAAGGCCAGGCCATTCTCCCTGTTTAGGCCTTTTTCCCACGCCATGACTTGTGATTGAATTCCTTCCAATCTCGTAACTGTTGCTACCTTCCATTATGCAACTTCTATGATACCGACCTTGTAAATGTTCTTATGTGACTCTCCTCTCCTTGTTCCTCCAGCTTTTAACCAATCCTGAAGTTCTTCGCTTGGTATTTGTCGAACTTACGAATATTGCTATATCTTATTTTATAGACCTGGTTATCCATTCGTATGACTTTACCGCATCTACATAGGTCATACTATACCATAACTCTTACCTCGATTTCTCGTTACGGAGGTCAGCTACCAAATCTCAGATTAATTTCGTTGATTATCTCATACGTATAAATCTATGTCCTCTAATGCCTCCACACTAGTGTTCATCTTTAAGAATGACGGCCTAATCTCCTCTCATACTTTATAACTTTTATCCATCCATTGTTGATTCACCTCAATTTCGATCCATAATCCACCCCTGATAACTTAACTTTTTATGTAGTATTGCTACTAGGATTCATTTTTAACGGGGAACATCTGAAATGATTAGATTGATCCACTTGGGGCAATACCCTGCTTTCATTAACTGTATCTCACGGCATCCCAATGTGATTCACTTTGTGTGGATATTTTAATTTTGTCCAATTCATGAGATTCCTTTCTTTTATTCGCCAGATCATTACTTAATCGAAGGCCCAAACGTTAATTTTTTTAATAATAATTACCCCTCATTCTATTAACAGGGCATCATTCTATCTCTTCTAAATGTTATTAGTCTTAGACTCCTTTGAGTTCATTAAAGCTATAGTGAGCTTTGTATAACATAGAGAAACTCTCTGCTCTTCTTGTTTTCATGGGCTTAATCCTAAAGACTTATCCATTCTCGTCACCTTTTCACTTGCCTTTCCTCATCCTTACTCATGTTTCCTTAAAACTTTGTTGCTCTACCATACTTTAGCTTGCGTCCTATATATATCCATTTATAAACTTTCCTTCAACTTGCTTGCACCATAGATTTTCTTATGTTCTCGGGGAATAT